ATTTATCTGCGAATTAAGCGTCGGATAACAAATTGCTTCAAGTACCTAAGTAAATACCCGTTTCACGAAACTAAAGTTGAAGTTGAAGGCTTCGGGTCTATATCGGCGAATTAGCGCGTTTCCAGCGCGAAGGAAAGTTTGTGCAAATCCTCTAGACGGGGATTGAAATTGTTATTCGTTCGGGTTTCGTCGGGAGTAAGTCGGTGGAATCTCGGCGAGTAGGGAGAAAAGCCGGGGATTTTTAATATCATGTCTTAAATATTCTAGTACGCCACTCAAACGTAAAAGCAAGTATATAGTAAATAAATTTTTCTTACGATAAATAAAGCATTGCCTCGTGCGTGAACGTTAAATTATATCGTAAATCACGTTGGCAAGTGACAAAAGTGTCCAAATTTGTGTTAAAGAAATTTATGGAAAAGAGAAAAAGTATTAAAGAACACGGCGCGTTATCTGACATTTAAGCCGTCGGATTTAAAATATAAGATTCTTCCACAATATCTATACACAGACTGCTTCAAATTTAAAAAGACAATTGCGGGATCATGGATTGTTTCTCGAGAACAATCCTCCGAGAAGATTGTTCTTCGTTTTACGCGTCCATGCTGGTTCGTTCGCGAGCTAGAATCCTTCCGAAATCAGCGCTATTGGTGAACTTTAGCGCCCTCTATAGGGGGTATTAAGTATCTGACAACGAGTTCGACTTCTGCATGGCCTAGCTGCCTCGTGCATGGCCAAGAGGTGCATCGTGAATGGTAGGGATAAGGTCAGGTCATGTAAGAGTTAGGGTCAGAGCACAGACTTCTGCATAACACATAATACACAACGCATAAGAGAATCAATCAATCAGAGTTCTTCATTTCTGTCCTGAGGAGGGAAATGAAGAAAACTAATTGGTTTATTCTGTTATGCGTTATGTATAATGTGTTATGCAAAAGCCTGTGTGTGCTCTTGCCCTAACGCACGGTGTAGCCAGACTTCCCAGAAATCCGGCGGGGAATGCAGCTGCGATAGTGAACCTGCTGCTACTCACGCGTAACGTAAACAATAGGATGTTATTGCCTCTCTCTTGAACGGCGCCGAGTTCCGACGATCGAGCGTGCGGCTCGATAAAATTGCCGATATCTTCATTTCTAGACATCATAGAGATTTCAAACAAAGGCCGTTGGAAAGCTGAAACTTCCGCGCTTCCGATAAGTGTGTAAAAATAATTCTCCGTAGATATAGAGATCAATTAATTTCAATTAGTTTATCTCAATAATAAATATCGATTAATTTCAAATTGAATGGAAAATAATATGTGATTCCTACCGAGCAATTTCCATTTGTATCGATAATTCTATGCAAAGCATCAGTTTTGTGTTTTACTCGATATAAAATGCGATGAACGAAAACTGAACCGAGTCTACTGAAGACAAACAAGAAGATTAGAAAAATACAATGCAAATCTTTATAATAATTAAAATAATATAGTATTATATTACTTGTTTGCTCATCTTTTCGTCTGTCTTGATGACAAATGATTGAGACGCTTTTCTTTCATCATTCAGCTTTGCAGTATATCAACAGGCCTGAAGCACTGTAAAATGATAGTATTGGTGACGCTTTGGCATATAAAGGCAATATTACTAAAAAACTACTATCTTATTTCGTCTTGCAACCATATATTTCGCGAACGACCCAAACGAACAGCTCGGAGCCGCAGTTTCAATTCGCTTGAAAGCTTCCATGGTGAACTATCGTGTTGACTGTCAGTTTGGTTGCGGGCAAAACCCACAAAACACCTGCCTAGAAAATGTACGCGTCATAGAATGCGTTTGTCAGCATGATCTACGACTATTTATAATTATCCGCAAGTGCGACGATACGGCAAAATTGATAAATGACTCGACGCAATCGTGCGGTGACGTTTACCGACGATTAAATATAGTTATTCGCGCGATATCGCGAAAGCATACACGTAGTATAGCGGAAGGAATTAAAAAAATCGCATCTGCAATAAAAAAGGTACCTCAGACTCTGTCAGTATTTCATGTAGACCATTCGACATTTCTAGCTGCATTGTGACTGTTTCGTCGTGTGGCATCGTAGATTCGTACACAAATAAGCGATGTTTTGTTTAAATTTAATACCGGCTTTTACAGCGTAAATATTGACCTGCGATGTCAATAAAATCGTTGTCTCATATTGACAGTTGTACGTAACATGATACACCATTTCCAAAATGCTCGATATTTTTCAACATATGCAATGCTAATATTTTCGCCATAACTTGCATAAACTTAATATATATGTAATACAGTGGTATTAATTTTTAGCTCAAAATACATTTATTGGGACAACGATATTTCCATTTGACTCTTTTTGCAGTCATCCTTTAATACCGACATCGATGCTATCTATTTCATTTTGTCCTTATTTTATACTTTGCACACTTAATAATATTACTTTGCACACGGCATAAAATCGTGTTTGTGTTTAGCCGATACGTGGTGATAATTATTTAAATAACAAACATTTGAACTTAAAGTCAAATTAATAACAATTCACCCATTACGGTAAATTAAAGTGCGGAAATGCCGCGCTCAAAGGTGCTTTTACATGCATGGACAGATGGGTGCACTGAATGCACATGTGGCTTAATAAATATTTCGCGCGTTTAGCATTGCAGAAACTCATTAGCCTGCTGCAGCTGCCGATTCGCGTTATGTGGAAGTACGCGTGTTGTAACATAATGCGGTCTACGTGGATTTTGAGTCGGTTATCTTCGATTGTTCATCGTTGGTGAAAACTACTAATGATAAATACGAATGTTTCTTTTCTCGGCGTGTGCGAGCAGCAAAGCAAGAAAACTGACGATTATTCCGCTTAAAAACGGACACGCGAATGGTGCTGGTGTTCACTTTAGCATCTGAAAATGAGCGAAAGACGACCAGTCATATTTTACATGGAAAGAACTATCCGTTCTTTGGCCCAGTTAACCTTCGATAAACGGTAATGTTTTAGTATATCCTCTAAACAGCAGCCTTCATAAACGCATGAAATATGGTTAGTTTAGAGCTTCCGCCGCGTAGCGTAAAGTTCCCGTCCAACGAATTTTAAAGAAGCGACAATAAGGAAGAAATAAGGAAGTAATAAAAATTACACCGTCGACTTAGTTTCCGCTCTTGTATACAGATGGATAACGCACAATACGGCTCTTAAATAAAATATAATAATCCATTAAAAAAAGTTCAATAACGCGATTTTGTATTTTTAGTTAAAGTATTTTCAGCATAACGCATCCTAAAGCATAAAGGGGATGTTACAGAGCGCAAACTCTTTCGGGCGCTTCAGCCATGTAATTGGAATCTTCTCACGCCACATCGAAATACCCATCTTCCTTAAATTCCGTCGATTATTGAACGTTGCTTTTACCTCGCAGCTCTGCGATTATTATACGCGTATTTTATTTACGTGGAAGAATCAGAAATAGCGAATAAATATATATATACATATACGTATATACATATACATATATACGTATACATATATATATGTTTTATTTTGTACCGTATGTATGTACTCACTCGTACGTAACGATCTTCTGAACCAAAAGTTTTAAGAAGCGAAGCAACCAAAAACGTGACAGCTTCAACTGCATAGGAAATAAGTTCCCGATATGCAAATGGCGAATTTATCTTTCCAGGAAGAAGCACAGGAAGGAGGAAACGAGTAGAAGACGCTTAAACGCCTATCTCGTTCCTCTAGCTCGGCAATTATCGCCTCGTCGACTTACCTCGAGGAAAGCACCAATCCGCATTCGCATAAGGCGCGATGCAAACTTTGCACGAGTGTTGAAATTCAGATAACTTTTCCGTTGCTCGAAAGACACACCTGGCTCTTTTTTCCCGTTTGTTCCCCGTTTCCTAACCTCGGATCCTCGCGAACTTCTGCACATCTCACCCTCTTTGCCCCTCCCGACTTGTCTCTTCCAGGTGAAAGTCAGAAGAGCTAGCGGAAAACGAGTTCCTTTGGAAATTATATTCTTCGTGCTGTAATTCATTTATCTGTGCGTAAAGGGCAACCTCTGCAATTGGCTTCTTCCATTGCAAGCAATTTTCCTCGAAGGACGTCAGAACGGACTTCGTTCCTTTTTGCATCTGCATTTAAGGCGCAGCGTAGCGAGCGCAGTTTCTCTTTTACTGTGCTTCCGCTTCTCTTGCGAACGCACACAACAGGGAGCTCTCTCGTAAAGCTATTTTGAAATTTTATTTTATCAAAGATACATTTGATGCAGTCCTAATCAAGAAAAAGGCATAGCTGAAGAGCAGAATCAAGACGAATTTATTTCTTGTAATGTCTAACTAATTCTGATATGTAGCATAAATACGCAAAATATATCTGGAATATAGCAATTTCCACGATAAATAATTTTACCTCTATATCTGCATAGCATAGCCCATTCTTTTTGAAATTTAAATTTTAAAATTGCACACGAGTATAAAGATAATAAATATCATTGAATGCATACATTAAATTTAGAATATCGTTCTACCATACGTCGAACATTTTAGTGAAGATTTCTTATCAAGTTATTGTAACGTTGTAGAAAAGTAGTAATATACTCGTATACTGTTCTTCAGAAAAGGAGAAAGGTGACGAGTACACGTTACCTTTCTCCTGTCGGTGACGTTTTACCAGTCGAGTCTCATGTCAGAATAAGGAAAGGTGGAGAACTGGAAGAGTAAGATCATCGATCCTATATATAAGACTGTCAGTCAGATTCACTTGCACTTGCACTTGCTGTGGCGGACGCGTCATTATCGTCATTCAGACTTGTGAAATCACAGTTCTATTGCCATCAAACATTTAATCACCGAGACATAACAGACATTGGCCTGCAATTACGACGGTCATCCATGTCGTGCCGAATGCGAATCTCGGTGAGCCTTTCGTCAAAATTGTCCGATAATTTTATCCGTCACTATAATTTTAAACATCAGTTTCTCTTTCTGCAGGTTATCATCATCGTGATGACGACGGTAATCGTCGGGGCTTATAAAAACAAGAGAGACGTCGTTTCCTCAAATGCGGACGTTATATCGTATTACAAACCTCGTCCACGACATTACTTTCTCGATCAATCACTTATGGACAAGATAATCGGCCAGCAAACATTATTCGACGTACCATTAAGAGACCAAACTATCAGCCAGCAAACTCTTCACGAAACATCCTTGAAAGAACAAAGTGTCTACCCGTCCGGCTCTTCAATTTTTCACCAACAACCATCGAAGCAGAATTTATTTCACATGGTAACAGCTTTCAGAGACAAACCGTTGTTGAAAGACGCGCTGCTGAAGGACCATGAATTGCTCGGAGAACGAGCAATCTTCAGAAACAGCCCCTTCGAAGGACAAAGCGCGTCGGAGATCTTCGAGGAACCAACGTCAGCGTATAGAAGTCAAGCACCGTTCAAGAAACAATTGTTAACGCCTGAAGCGCCGTTTAAAAACTTATTTCACGGACAGTCACCCCCAGGTGAACAAGCACCGAAGTACTTTCAAAAGCAAACGGCTCACATCGATTCTCCGGCCATCTCCAACCCGATCAAATTTTATCGAGATGATTTTTACAGTAAACCGATCGATTCGTACGGGCGGCAGAAAGACGCTATGACCTACGAAGGACCCACGATATACACGGAATACGGTAGGTATGTTGCGCAACTTGAAGGAAATACAACTTCAAGTAACTCTGACGAGTGGAGAGTACACAACTCAATATCCTCCTTCTTGAACTGCAGAACGTAAATTCTCTGCATGAATTATTTCGCACGTAATCCGATATCGCGATTTTCTGCTCAAATATAAGCAGCTGGTCAAAACGACAACTTTAACTCTGTTTGACGATATTTCGCACCACAGATAATCACGCTCTCGAATTGCCTCCGATGCCGATGGTTTCGTCTTACAAGCATCTTCCCGCATTAAACGCCGAAATTCCCGCAACACAGCCGTCTACGCTCGTCGTTAGTCACGGATCCGCTTCTTCGGTATCTCCCGTTTCTTCCGGTATGAACAAAATGCATTCGCTTTCAGACGCTTTCAAGATAAAGCTTGGCTCAGCATCGACTTTACAGTCGGCTATTTCACCGTTAAACGGCAAATGCAACACGGTGAGCAAATTCTTAATCCTTGATATTTTTGGCATCTCGAATATGGTACGACCAGAGAATTTCATTTCACTCGCTGAATTTGATATTCAGTCGAGAGTAAAATATGTTTCGCGGTAATTTCGAGATATTTGTTTTGCAGCGCATTTGCGCAACCGTAAATGGAAACCGCCAGAAAAATCTGTCAGTCTTATTAAGCTTACGTTACGCATATTTATTTATAATATTATCATTCGAAAATTTATTCATACACGCTTTGTTTTTCCGTCGTATCATCCCAACGTTGTATAATTTTATAATAAATTTATGATTATGTTAGCCAATAAATTTATGATAATGTTTACTGAATCTTGCGCGTAATTTATACTTTGCTGCATCACTTATTATTACAAAAATCCATATTAGACATTCAATAATATTTTTACTTAAAATTTATTAAAATTTAGAAAAGTTTCATTTTCACACGAATTTCCTCGCGGTGTCTTTGGAGAAATATTTTTAGATTAAATCTCTAACGATTTGTGTATTTGTCGTTACTTTTAGCTGGTTGACAGCTTGTCAACGACGCCCAACAATGCAGTTACAACCATGCCATCAAATTCAGTTAGTACAAACCAATCCTCGATTGTAGGTCATATCTTAACGAGTTTAACAACCAAGCCAAGTTCACCTGTCATGGATACAGTAACTCCAATAATGCCGTTCGTCGAGAAGTACGTAATAACTGCGACCAAAGTTTATTATTTGCCGACTGCTTACAATATTATAATCGTAGGTGTAAATACGTCAAATTATTTGATTAGCAAACAAGCGAATTCAAATGACGTTATATCGCAGCACTTGGTATAAAATTAATGTAATTAACATTATTCTGGAATCACTATATCAAACTTGGTGACATTTGTATAATTAATTTTGCCGCGCGTGTGTAATTTCTAACTATTGTAGATTATGAATTCTCAGTTTGAAATTCTCATGAAATAATAATTATTTCTGAATAAATCCTACATAAATGTAGTCTCCGTTTAGATATCGAAGAATAAGGAAAGACAATTTACTGGCAAATTAATTTACTGACAAAATAATATTCCATCACATGGCCCCGTGTATCCACACATTTGTTTTCTTCCGTTTAGCACTTTCGAGCCGATCCACTTCCATGCTACTAAATACGGGGCTGTCCTGGCACCTTCTTTCATCTCCCAAAATGAATTGAAGAACAACATACATACCTATCCGCTTCCGGAGACGCCGAAGACTGGCTTGAAGATCGATGAGCACAAGCTGAAATACCTGATGCCGGAAGCGCCAAAGAACAACATGAAGATCGATAACCAAAGGCCCATGTTGAATTACATCCTCTCTGAAGAGCAGAAGAGTATGCTGAAGAACGACATTCAGAGCTCTTTCGCAAACAACGCGTTGTCCGAGGTGTTTAAACACGGCTGGTCCTTGCAACAATTCTCGCAGCCGGAAACATCGTCCAGCTATGCTCCATTGTCCCCGAATGGAAAGATGAACCTCATTTTACCGAGTACACCGGTCGCATCTGCCTCGACTATTCCTTGGCCGATGGTGACCAAACACAATATTCCCGTGGTGCTACCAGCACAATCCATAATGGCATCTGAAGGGTCGAGTAACAATATGCCGCTAGGTACGGTATCGTTATAGCTTATCTTTATATTACCGGACAATGAGTAGCAAAAATTCGAAACAACTCAAGTCGAAAATCAAGCATTTCTCTTATCGCGTTATATCGCTCGAAGTAAAAAATTACGTTGGAAGTTGAAAATATATATATTATCAAATACTTCCAAATAATATTTTATGAGTTTTTTCAATTTCATTCTTCAATCGATTTGCACACAGTCTAAAACATCTAAAACATCTAAAAATAATTGATAATCGCGGTGTCATAAATATGCTATTATACGCGGGAAGAAAAGAATATTCAATAAAATCAAAATCTCCAATACTCGAGTTAAGCCGCATTCACGGTTCATCGGCGGTCACGTAGTGTTAATGCTCTCAAGGGTTCGGTCTCTGTTCCATCAGAGGAATGCTTCGACAATGGAGAATCCGCTGTTCACCATCTGATTATACCTTGCTACAGAAATAAATTTACCTTTGGATTTCATGGCGAGCATGCCAAACAGCCTGGCTACAAGTATACCCGATAATATATCTGGAAGCATAACTGGTGGCGTATCAACGAGCATACCTGGTGGCATGACGACGGACATGCCTGCGAGCGTACCAACTTTGAACCTGGGGCAAAGTTTACATCGCGCGGAACAATTACGACAAACTCAAGAGGCAAGAAACCCTTGGTACCCCACAGGTATCTCAGCTACACGCTAAGCAAGTTTTACATCTTTAGTTCCGGCGTGACGCCGTAACATAGCTGCGTTTTGGTGCAACGTGCGTCTACAGTGCAGTTCCGTCGGCGTGAAGCGCAGCGGGATTTAGCTGACTAGCGGAATAATACGACCCATTTTGATTTCGGCAAATATTTATCTCCGAGATTTCTCTGTCAAATCAGTCCGCTGAGGATTGCTTGATGTTGATTTTAGAAGATTTGTTGCTCGTTATATTTATTCGGTACGTTACAAAAAGATCATTGATTTTTCTTACGCGCAATACTTGTAGAATAATGCAACAAACTTCATTTGCAATCAAACTTGTTGCGCGTCAAACTTTTCGGCAATCCGCGCGAGAGATTACATCCTCCGTTTCGACGCGTGATCTACAAAATAGCTCTGCAATTTCGCAGTGCTCATTTAGATAAACAATCCCCGATTGGGAATCACCGCGAACAGCATCAATATGTGCTTTTTCATTTATCCCTCCGCGCGCCCTTCAGTGTGCAAACCTTTCTCGCAGTGTATCTGCTGATTACGCTTAAGGCTTCGTTTGTTTAACAACTCTTTCCCTGCGTAACGCAATTAACGTACTTTGCAGGTTTGCAGCTGCAACTAGGCGGTTTTGGTGGGATAAATTACACGTTACACACGAGTAATCCCACCGCGGGGCCGATTGAGCTTGAGATCGCGAAAGCAGGCTTAACTCCGCCGAAATTACCACAACCACACGTTCCTGCATTTGCAAAAGTGAGTTCTCAAGGCGTGATTGCGAATTTCGCGGCGGCGATACTCATGTCGTCCGAAAGCTTCCTTAATAACGACACGTAATATTACTTTGGCCGCTTTTATCAGACTCATGCCTGCAAGTTACGAGCATCCCTCTTTCTCTCCTACTCTCTCTTATCCCCTCTGTGCATCTTTATGCAGTTTGTTCACGTTGTATTATTGTCTACTTTACAACTTTTAAATTGAGAAGAGGGAAATGTTGAGTAAAAGTTTACTCAAATTTTAATTAATTAAAACAACATAATCTTTTCTAAATTACGAACCGAAGTTGAAACAAACTTTGATAATTTAAAGATATATTAAAGATGACGGTCTTTCATATCTTTACCGAAGACTTTATCAATATCATATTTATTACATCGCGAAATTGTAAGTGGGAGTTTCGATATTTCGCTGTGTACAGTAAATTCGTAATTATTATCTACAGGCACGTCCACATTCGCTTGAGCTAAATGCCGTCGAACATTGAAAGTTTGTTGACAGAAGCTTATGAATATGGAACATGTATTCGAGAGGTATTAATTAGTAAACCAATTTTGTTAATTATACGCGTTGGTGCCCTGACAATTCTGTTAGTCCGTCCACGTACGTAAATTCCAGTCATTTGACCAAAAGGGTAAACGCGAGGCTAATTTATCGCACTATTATTTTAGAATGAGTTTCATCTCACCTAATTCTCACGCTCACTATTACGTTGATGTATAAATCAGCTGTCCAATACGAAAGCTCTTCAATCTTTTTCCCATTTCCATCAATCCGTCAATCATCGCATTCAATCCAAATGCGAACGTAATGGAAATTTACAATAAAAAAAAGACAAAACAAACCTCGCAGGTACAATAAAAAAAAAGACAAAACAAACCTGCGAGGTTTGTTTTGTCTTTTTTTTTATTGTAATTGTTTTATCGCAAAATATTATTGACAAATATTTCTGTCATCCACGGAAATCTGAAATATTATAGTATGGTATGAAAAACTAAAAAAAAAAGGAAATAAAAAAAAGTTCACTAAAAGCACAGAAATATCGCAATATATTCGAGACTTCAATGCATATCATGCAAAGGATCTGTGGTAAAAGATATATGTGTTAATAGCGTTGCGCGCTTTCGTCGGCCTGTTTCCGCAAAAGTACGAGCGTGCTATGCTTCTTTAACGGCTTTAGCGCGTTGAGATGCGTGTTTTGTCGAGAAGGAAAGTTTCCCGCCTTGCGCAAGAACGCAAATAAAACGTCCCAAGTACTTTTCGTTCGGGCACAATACCGGCCGTAAATCCTTCAAAAATTTACCACGGGATACAGCACTCGCTATTTCCGCACATCGAGTGACGCAGGCGCCTCTCTGCGAGAGCGCGATATAGAAAGGACGAAGATAGAAATACGAGGAGAGAAGAATGAAGTGTCTCGTCCGCGCACAGTCGCCTAAGTTTCTTATTTCCATTAATTATATCGGGAGAGGAGATTTTCTATCTCGGCTAGAGAGAGAGAGAGAAAGAGAGAGAGAGAGAGAGAGACAGAGAGAGAGAGAGAGAGAGAGAGACAAGGCGCAAACCGTAGCTTGTTTTGCAGCAGCGGCAATTATTTTCACTGTTCTACGTAAATATGATTAATCACGATGGATTAAAGATGAAGCAAGACCTTCGATGACGCGACTTGATGATATATTGGCCAAAACAAATTACACTCGCTGAAATATCGAGCAATGCATTTACATGTCTCTCGTGAAATGTGTGTGCATGAATACGTTCCAATTCATACGTTTGGAGTGCGCATGTAAATTTGATTATATTATGCGTCGTAAATATGACTTTGTCAAGTTTAGAAGATATCTAGTGCTACTATAAATTTGACAGGGACTTTATTGAAGTTAATTGCAGACATTTATTTATCTGCATCATATTTTGTGCGACTCGAAGTAAAACTTGACATAAAATGCAAACTAAAATTGAGAGAGCATAACAAATGACTATGAAAATTACGAGGAGAACGATAAACAGCTCTGCTAGAGCACATTTTCTTGTTATTATATGTACAAGTATTCGCAGTGGAATATTTTTAATATCCATTGTAAAATATGTTTTCCTATCTATCAAGATTCTTTTCTTCTAATGTCGTTCAGTTTATTAGGATTTTTACGCATAAAACGGTAAAATAAAATGGTTTCAGGTCAGAGTTGGACACCATCTGTGAAAACGGTGTGCGATTACCCTCGTTATACGCATTTACATTGCAATGCGATGCACAGGTGTACATATCCGAGGTGTTACGTAGTACAAATGCTGCAGCCAGCAGCAGGAGAATTACCAAAGCGGATCACGTCTCTCTGGACTTAAGAATTTATTTCTGATTGGGACACGCCGGCGTTTCAAAATTTATCGACGGAAAGATGTATTTAGTAGATAAGAAATAAATTGCTTCGAATGTAACATACAAACATAGAGCAGAAAATTTATTTTTCTTTCTTTCTTCCTTTTTTCAGATACGAAGCCCTTCTTCCTTCTTTCGTTCCAGACTCGCTTTTATCTGGTTATTTATGTGTCTATTCGCATTCACTTGGTTCTTCCTTTTGTTCATCACAAGTGCCTCGATGCTCACATGGGTAAACGGTCGGTTCTTTACGAAATCCCGTGATATACCTTTTATTCCTCGAATGTCCGTAAAAGTTGGCACCGAACGTTTTGTCGTAGATTGAATTTCGCCAGCGGTCATAGCAGTTGGCCGCGACCATTGTCACTGCAGATTCCATTGAATCGAACAAATGTAGTCATATACGTGTGTAGTGAAGTGAAACTACACGGCGCCTCGGACATCTCATGTCCAACAATAGAATTCATTTAGTTGCGATTAAGATCTCTTCTGACTTTCACGGAAGAAATTATATATTCGATGATATAATGCGTTTTCAATATTCAAGTAATTAAATATATTTACCGTTAAATATCTTGCGACACTAAATAAAAATTATATTGTCTCAATCCTCTTTTAATGAGTTGAGTTCTAAATTGATACAATTTGATACAAGAATCAAGCATAAATACATTTTATCACTCGTGCGAAATTTGCAGTGAATTAAATTTAGAAATGTGTGAACATGGCGAATTCCATTCACCCATTCATTGTCCCATTGCCTCGCCCATTCAATTCGTCGAGGCATTACGCAAGATAATTCTGTGTCCTGCGTTGTTGCTACTTTACGATTCGCGATTTAGGTCAGTAGATTGCACATTCATTCGCGACTTTCATTACTTTTTGCAGCGGACTGAGTGACTAGGAGTCGTCGTAAGTTTCACACTTAATTACGGCCTGGCGAGAATAATATGGGTTTATCTCGTTTCCCTTCCTGCTCGAATCTTTCCGCGCGCGCTGGAGTGAATAATCTACCGTCGGCTTACGTTAGATTACTTCATTCGTGCGTTTTATACGGAGATAGCATGAGCGATTTAATTGCAAATTGAATCCGCCCGTGCTCCGTATTTTTCATTATTTTAACCGTAATTGAAACTACTATCCATCTCTTTATCGTGCGTTTTCAGCACGTGCTCGAAATTCATTTCAATGCATGTGCCGTGCCAAAATTCATCAGCGATATTGTTTCACTCTACATTCACGTTAATAATAAGCCGCACCCATTACAGAAACAAAGTACCCACATGTGTGAATCGAGCATGCTCAAAACACATTGCACGATATTTTAATGGTATTTAATTGTAGAGTTTAATTAAGGCTCAAAATCCTCGTATAGATATTTTTATAAGCTTACTTACTCTCGTTTTATCTTCTCTCTGTTCTTCTTCATCCTCTCTCCTTTCTTCTTCATCGAGAATTAGAGACGTGGTATGGAAATAAAAGAACACGGAGATGATTTTTAATTTATACTATAATTTATTACTTTTAACAAGTGTTTCTGTGTGTGTGTGTGTATGTTCATGTCATGTGTGAATGTATATTTCTCACGCTCTCGTAAGTATGTATAGGTATTGCCTTCAGTACATACAGCATTATTTTCTTTTTTTTATGTATCTCGTTTGTCGCGGCTTATAATTTCAGCAAATTAAAGATCTTTCTCTTATATCTATGCCCTGTATAGACCATTGGTGATAATAAATAAGAAATTCATAGGAAAACAGCATCCGACTTCACGCACTGGAATAACACGCGCGCACGTTACTTCATATAATATATACTATATATATATATATATTTCTCTTTTTTTCAACATTATAGCGTTCCAACACTTTCATCCTCGAAAGACAACGTGTCAATACGTGATCGTTTTACGCAAACAAGAAGTTTCCGTGATTCGGGCTCAATTGAGAATCCTCGGAAACTCCGGTCGCATCTTCCACGCACACACACACACACGCGCATACAGACGCAATCATGCCTCCCCAATTAGTCGTATATTTACATGAATATACAGCGCTACGTTAATTTGCACTCGCAAATTGTGATATCGTGTCACATATACATGTGCGCGTATGTACAGAGGGGAAAGTATCAGGTTAGAAAAATACAGCCATCTTACTCAGGATTGTAAGAAACTTTCTAACATCTTTCGAAGTGTCACACGCTATAACAGAAGACTAGGCTCACTTCTCTCTCATCCTTTCTCTCTCTCTCTCTCTCTCTCTCTTCTCTCTCTCTCTCTCTCCCTCCCCCATTGCTCGAAAGCATATTTTGGTTACATTTCGTACCTTCGTTCGGGACCGTTAAGCCTCACGCTTCTTTCGCTTCTCTCAATCACTTGGATCCATAGTCCCACCGTGCGTTTAGCGCTAATTACAGCCTGGTAATTACTGTCTGGTTTAGGTTCGTTTCTATCTCGTCAACCGGTCTGCGAGAGAGCAAAACTCGCAGTCGTGTAACTACATGTGGCGCTAAGGTTGGCTAAGGCGTCGCTAAACGGGGGTGAGAATGCGGATCGTGCATGAGATTAGTTGCGATCGCGAGGATTCCGCGAGAACTGTCCCATGCACTTGGCTGGCGACAGGGAAAGCAAAGCGTGAGAACTTTGCTAATTGAGAAGCGATCGACTTTCAGCGGAAATCTCTTTATCTTACGACGACGACGTCAAGTGGCACGTGGCGCGATCCGCGGAGCGAAGCGGGGGCGGCTCTCGCGGGGAAGTGAGTCGCGAGAGGTCGAAGAGCGAGAGGGTCGGCGAACTTTTCGACAAAGTTATGAAGGGGCTTAAACTTCACAGTCGGTTCGCGCGGATTTATTGTGACCAAAGCGACTTAAGTGGATTTCACCTCCGGAGATTTACATAAATTAAAAGATTCATCCGAATTGAAAGCCGCAGCTTCAGGCCGGCGAACTTGCTTCCGGCATCCAGCAAATTTCACCTCACTACAGAGCCGTGTTCTCTCCTGAGAGACTTTAGACCCTACTGTTCGTAATACGGATGTTGTCTCGCGCATTACCAAAGTACCATTACCTCCTCTCGCAGAGGAGGCAGGCTGAAAGTGGCCAGTGTGAAGCTAAGTATGACGAAGCGACGTGTGTGAAATTGCCAGAAGTTTCCGCTGCCGGAAATTCTATCTTCGCGATATCGCCTCGCGGAAATACCTCGCGGACTTATTCGTTTGCTCATTAATTGCAAGATGCTGCTGATGGAAAGAGCGTACGTTGTATACAGGGTGTTTCGGGATTGGAGGAAAATGCAAGCGAAAACATAAACGTGACTTTAACAATCATTCACAACATTCATTTTATTCTATAAACTACCTTCTTCCTATGATTGCTGTCTACCGACCGATATATCTCGAAAAGCTCACAGACTGCCAATAAGTTATGAGTCACCTAAACACACGTACTAATCCTACTCACACTCTCAGGACATTGCAAATTTACTTATCGTCCACTTCTCAAGCAAACGATCGTATAAATTCCTCGTTTCCTAGGATTCCGTGCCATCATCTTCCGGGCCGAGGTTTCAAGCCAAGGAGATTGCTGTTTCGTATCGCACCTCTGCATCAATTCTTCCACGAATTACGGCCCTTCAAACTTTCGCTATCAGCCAGAATTGGAGCGATGTGTATACAACGCGATAGAGGAAGATGAAAGACGTGGCGGCGAGCGGCCAGCTGACATAGCGCAGGAGCGGGGGAGAGTCCTGCCGCGTTACGTAACGCGTTACGCGATAAGAACGCGTATATCAGCTGGCCGTCCGACCGCGCGGTCGTTGACCCGGCTGACCTGCGGCCAATACACGCCGCGCGCCGGCGTTGGCTAATACCGAACATGCCGGAATTACGGCCATGATGGTTTTATCAGACGGCGAAATTTTTACCTGCTATCCTGAAACACTCGGTATCTCGCGAAGGATGGGACGAAACGGGGAGTGAAAAATTGGGGAGAACTCGCGAGACGTTCTTCGGCGAAGAATTCGGCTGACAAATTCGGCGATTCTCGTTTTTCACGAAATAACACAGGCGCGACACAGGCGGCTCGGCTCGGCTCGGCGAGTTACGATCGTCAAGCCCGGAGCCGGCGTGCGCACTCGTCTGTGCTTGTGGTCGCGAGACTTACGCGAATCGCGCGCGCGTCACCTAAATCAAGCGGATCCTCCGCTAAATCAAGCGGTCGTTAATCGCGCCACGTGTAACGTGAAGCCGTATGTAACGATGGGATTGACGGTACTCGCTCGTAAAACGCTCGTCGTGGAATATTTACAAATGTACAGTGGAAGCTTAGAACTACGTCGTACAGCGCTCAAAAAACCGATTAGATAAAAAGCTTTGATTGTTGACGTTATTGCAACAGCACAGAACGCGCGTAAACGTATATCGAACCCAACGGTCGCGATTTGGTAGTGATTTGCTCGCAACGCTCCGCTCTCAGTGATCTGGACTCTCACTCGATTTCATTTACACCGCGTACTTCAGAGAGATAACTCTAATCTATTCTAATATCATCCTCGTCGATAATTTATAATATTCACAGGGAACTGTGAAACGCTCCGACCTTCAGGCTACTCACGAGATTCGCGCTCGCGGGGAGGCCGGGGCGATCTGTCGGGCACTTGAACGGGCTTCGACAGATGCTCGCGCGTTGCGTTGGCCAAATATTAGTGTTGAAACGTGGACTTAACGATTAAGGGGGGCTGGGAGGCAGATCGTCAAACCCGAAGTGATTTAATTAACGATGAAGCGGCAGATAGCGGCACCGAGAGTGCCTGTAAAACTACACGTTTGCTTTTCGCCGTCGCGTCGGCCTAGAAGGATTAAGCGATAATGATCAGCCGAGATCAGCTGCGAAACGGCACTTTCGCTGTATCTCTTGTCTAACATCGAGCGACACTTCCACGGCTCGATCTAATGGATCTAACGATTACAACGCGAGCCCTCGTCTGCGGACCGTTTCACAGTTCGATGAGAAAGTCTTGGCTAGCACGTGACCACGCTCCGTGATCGCTCCGAGGGGAAAGCATAGCGCGGTGTGCCGGGTTAATCCGTACGGTTACATGCCAGTTCGCGTCTCGATAGTCCGCCGTCATGCGTGGAAGCACATCCTCGGGAGTTGATGCGTCGTGGACAGCTTCTCGCGCTGCGTACTCGTACTGATATGTTTGAAAATTCGGTCGTGGCGAACTTCACACGCTTGACCGCAAACAGAGAACGTGAAAGATCGTTGGAACTTGGGACACGTCTAAGATGTCTCGAGGAAGCACTCGGCGCAGTAACTTTCGACTCGGCTTGCGAACAGAAACTTCGCCGCTGCAAAACTTGATAATGAACTCGGCGCGTACGCTCGCGCGCTCTCCTTCTTCGCTCGCGGTTCGCCGTTTCGCGCACTCGTTTAATTCGAGTTGCTTTCTTCGTTCGGCCCCTTTGCGCGGATTTCATCTTCGCGCTCGCGCGCGCGCGCACGAATAGCTTCCCACCCGTATCCCGATTTCGCTCCACAAAAGGTTAACACGGTGACGCGGTGTGCAATTTAGATGTAAAACCGTGAATCGTGATACCGCACCGGAATAACCCCACGCTCGGACGAGCCGTGAGAAACCGAGAGTTGTGTTTCCGATATTCGCGTACATCGTTGTCATTGTCCCAAGTCCACCTGATTATTTATACGACTCGTAGCCTCGGTACCGTCGCGTCGGTATCGGAATACGCGACAAATCCTACGTATCGGAGCGCCGAAGCGGTCGGAACGAGTTCCGGAATTTCGCAGTTCGATCGAGCCCGTACTATGCTCGCGAGTCAAACCTGCAAGTGTAAGAGTGACGGTAAAATCGTAAAGTAATGTACATCAGGGTTTCTCAATCTTTACGCGACATTCACCCTTATTTATTCGCGCGCACTCGTCGTTCACTATAAAAATACTCGACACTGTGCAGTCGAGTATGCTTTTATATAGTCTGTCCAAAAAGGCTGGTGAACATAATCCAGGACGAGCGTGTAAATATTTATTAATATGTAGAATATGTGGAAAGTTTACACAGAACTAAAGTAAACTAGATAAAAACTAGATAAAAACAGTTTCAACAGTTCGAACTGTGTGAGCGTTGCATATTGATGTAAACTTGTTTATTTCGTATTTTTCTCCATACGAGAAATATATTTTGTAACAGAGGAAAGTGATATATCTCTCTCTCGATACGCTCTCTCGATAAGATTTTAAAAATACAAACTCTACAATCTAAAACATGAAATTTAATTGTTGCCTACCTGTAAAGTGTCGAAATGTGTTGTTTTGTTAGAAATTAATATGTCAACAGTCTAATAATATTGTTGAGATATTTTGACGCGATGTTTAACTTTAATGACGCAAGACGAGAAAAGGAACTCTGAATTGAGAAGCCCCGAAATACCTGTGTATGCGAGTCTCTAAGCATCCCGAATTCGTCACGATGCGAAAAACTTACGAAATGGTTCGATTCAATGGTCACGATTCAATTATGTGAATTTACTATTTATTCCCTTGTAAGTGTGCTCACAAAAATAAAGAGAGAAATTACAAGTTGAATTAATCATTTTTCTCCTAGGTACTCAGATGCTCAGAAAAATAGCTCATTTTTGATTGATGCACGGGCTTCATTAAGCGCCCCATTCTCTCCGCTATAACTCAGAAGTACTTATATTTTCGTATTCGACGATAACTTATTGAATAGAGCATTCAAGCTAAAATTTACAAGGTACACTGTTTCGAAAAATCAATCTTCCTTCATGTTTTCTTAAAGCTTCTACTTCGCGCTTGGCATCACCCTGTATATCGTGGAAGGAACGGCGCGTAAATTCATTTATGTCGTGTGTGTATATGTATAATCTCTTTCTTCTCTCTCTCTCTCTCTCTCTCCCTCTCTCTCTCTCCCTCCCTCCCTCCCTCCCTCCCTCCCCCCTCCCTCTCTCTTTCTCTCCCTTCCTCTCTTTCTCTTTCTCGGTACATGTGTACCGAAATATAAATACATACAGTTACACTGCGACGCGCGAGAATATGTATAGCGTGTTCCTACGTATCGTCGTACAAACGGCGGGCTCGGTTGCTTTTTGCTTTGAGCGAAAAAATATTGCTATATCTTACACGCTACGTTAATACTGTCATGGCGTACTTAATTATCCACGGAGACGTATAGTGTGTGTGTGTAATATATGCTCGCATAATAAATACACCTCTAACAACTTTAACCCTCCGCCGTCACGGATCTCATTTATTACCTGCTTCTTCGCGCAACTTAAATTATTTTCGAGGGACGTCCTTTCCTTCCTTTACGAACGCGATATTATTATACCTTAACACAGCTAGCTGGCTAGTCCCTCTAACGAAGTCCTTTGGACGCCATAAACGCTCATCTCTCGCTCCTGCGAGATTTGTACAGATTATCTAAATTCCTCGCGGATATATCCGCGCGATACGACGGCTCATCGACGCGGCGTTCTGTTGCGCGAAGCCTCACTTAGCAATTATTTGAGCTACTACGTGCGGGAATTCAGTTCCGTCGTCGGTGCACGTGTATCCTGGCGTGTCCTCGCAGCGTGGCACGCTATGTTAGTTCAATATCATAACGCACGATTTCGCGTACTACGTAAACACGAGGAATCGTTGCTGTATTCGATAGCAACAATTACCGGATAATCTCTCTCTCTCTCTCTCTCTCTCTCTCTCTCTCTCTCTCTCTCTCTCTCTCTCTCTCTCTCTTTTTGTCGTATCGCGTGTCAACCTTGACCAAGTGCGCAGTGAAATTTTTTTCTCCGTCACAGACGTGCACAAAGTACCAATGAAACATTTCTCGATAACGCGCCTTTCCGCAATTCGAGAGCAGCGATAATGGATTTAAAAAATGAAGGGAACAGGAAGCAAAATCAAAGTAGAAAATCGCAATGTAAGCAATAATTGATTGCCTTGAGAGAGCGCGTGTATGTGCATGAAAAATTAACGAGATGCAAACAGAGCGTTCCTCGTTTGTGCAATCTACGTTACATTTCCTCGTAGCCTGCATAAATGATATTTTCGCGAAACATAGAATTCAAGCGACACTCGTTGAAAATAACGTCTCCTCGTTCCTTTCTGCGCCGCGCGGAAATGTTCTCCCAGACTCAGGAAATGGAAAATGCTACGCGAGATGCAACTTTCCTCTTTCACTTGGTAATGATTGACGCGCAACGGGACGCGGAAACCGATACGCAAACGCAGCTGTGTTGCGATTCCAAATACGAGAACAACGGTACCTGTTGCGAGAGCCTGCCAAGACCTTCAAGCCTTGTTGTTATATCACAAATACGACTGTATTCACAGAGAGAGAGAGAGAGAGAGAGAGAGAGAGAGAGAGAGAGAGAGAGAGAGAGAGAGAGAGAGAGAGAGAGTGAGTCACATTTGTCGGCCCGTGGTTCTTCTTTAGGAGGACAAATCGCTCGCGCTTACACGCTGATCAACTTGCGGAAGGCCTTGCGGAACTCGGGGTTGAACACAGTGTATATTACGGGATTCACAAAGCTGTTCATATAACCCAACCAGGAGGTGATGATAAAAGCTGTAACACCAGGCTGACAGGCCTTCGTCAGTTTCGTGCAGATTGCATCCATGATGTTGCAGGTGAAGAAGGGTACCCAGCATATCAGAAAGACCCCTGTGGCATTAATTACGACAGGATTAATCCAAGTTATTGTATCGTTCAAGCACACGATGTAACCAGCGCCTAATTGGCATCGCTTCAAGTTTTGACGCGTCATTCATTAACCAAGGCGCTTATTAATGTCTTTTCTCATAAACTTTCCAGCTTGCAACCAATTTAAAGAAACTACCGTATCATGTTCGCATTCACGTAACTTTTTTTACTTAATCACCTCTCTTAAAAACATTATTTTTTTGTAACATAACGTATCTACCGAGAAGAACGCGATTACAACGCTCTCAAGTGATGAATTAAGCATTACGAATTTCTTAAGAGCAAACATCTTCAATGTTTGGTTTAGTTGGCAAAGTATATGAGCGCATCAAGTATACGACGAAAAGTTTCTGGCGGCGTTCACTATTAACTCGCCCTTTGATGTGTTGTACGCTAAAGGACCACTGCGAGACGCAAACTATCAACTTAATCCTACTTCTCATTCACTTCGCGGTAGACACCGAGTTTAACCCTTTTCTTGAGATTTCACATCGTGAGATACCGAGCGAGCGCGACTCCCTCTTTCGACGACGACGACGCGACGTCTCTATTGCCTCGTATCAATTTTGCCATTTCAACATCCGACCACGAATTCGCGACATGACCGCTCTCTCTCTCTCTCTCTCTCTCTCTCTCCTCTCTCTCTCTCTCTCTCTCTCTCTCTCTCTCTCTCTCTCTCTCTCTCTCTCTCTCTCTCTCTCTCTCTCTCTCTCTCTCTGATCGGGACGTATCAGCGCCGATTTATTACCGGCGAAAAGTAGTTACAGCCACGAACCGGCCGGACCGATCAAATCGCCGCGTGTAACTAATCTCCCGACCTCTCGGCTTTTAAACCACTTCTCGCCCCATTCGGTCGACCACGGTTTGGACTCTCACATACGCGCGATCCATCTCCGTTGCCGTCCTTATTTTTTGCCCCGCCTCTAGCTCGTCCAAGCGCATCAATAACGGATGCAGAGGCGGACGAGCGGCGTGCGGCTTATCAACATGGTGAACACGCAAATGAACCCACCTAACACGATCGCTAGAGTCTTCGTGGCCTTGCGCTCCTTCTTGGCCGAACTCTTCTCTCTCTTCTTTTTGCTGGCCTTGTTGGCCTTGTATATCGTGAACCTTGACCCGGCCGAGGCGTTCTTGCGGTCCTTCTTGCCGGCGGACGACAGCACGCTGGGCGTCCTCGCGAGCTGCAGCGGCAATAGCGAGCCGGCACTCTTCAGTCTCTTGAGCTCCTGCTTGTTCGTGCTGCCGTTGCCGTTCTTCTTCGTCTGCGACGAGACGCTGGTCGCACCTCTCGTCGGCGGCGGCGACGACGAGGTCGACGACGACGGAGCCGAGGTGATCCGCGGGTTCGGGCTCGGGCTGGAATTCGTCTCGAGGGGTTCGTGGATCATCGTGCTGCTCGCCGCGCCGTCGTAACCGGAATCTTTGCGAACGTGGGGCGTCCCGCTCAGCTGGGCTTGCGCCACCGCGCTGAAACGACAACTGCGATTCGAGTGTCAGGAAGACTCGACACTCTTCTCGCTTCCGATGTATTCACACTTATTCGCAGCTTGCGTCACGCGCGCACGCGCGCGAAAAAAGCTGCCAATGAATTTTGTCTCCATACAGTGATGTATAAAATTGTATAAAATTGTCCAAGTCGATTGAACACTGAAAAAAAACGCCGTTAAATGAAGAAGAGAAGAAATCATTTCGTTCAGTTTTACTTCTACGGGTTACTACAAATATGAGTCATATAGGGACAACATTCATGTGTAATTATATATAATTAATAAACAAAACGTAGCGCGAAAAAATATACGCTAATTAATAACAGTGAAATTGTCGCGTACGCCGGACTTGATTAGCCGGCTTTCGAAGGTAACGCGAACGGCTACACGCAAATTACTCGCACATGCCGATACAAAGGAACCGTTCATCGCGATTAGCCTGCAAACTTCCGAATTTCTATGGGAGCGACGAGTTTCCATCAAACAACTATTGTACGCGAGCTTTGTACGAGCCATGGAAATCGGACAGCGAGCCGGCCGGCAGCCCGCCATTGTGTCGAGGCCGCCAAGAGGAGGAAGAAAATGAACGAACCGCGAGATCGCCGGCGTTTCATCACCTGCCCCATTGTAAACTCCTCCGCGGATACTTCCGTTTCGCTCGATCACCGGCACGCTTGAACTTTCGAACGTCCAACTTGCTAGCCGTTCGGGCCGAATATCGACATGTGACTTTCCGCTCGAGTTTTTCGATCCCGCCAAGTTCCGCCGTCCTGCCATAAATTGTCTTCGCCTTTTCGGGAATAACGATCGAAAACGCTTCCGAGACGCGCAAGGGATCGATAAGATGTTCCACTTGAAAGGCACGAAGGTATAATTGAGGCAATCGAAAACACGTCGGATGTAATTACAATAATTACAATCGTCCCGAAGCAACGAAGAAGGTCGATAGCGAATTAAATCGTTGTATTTCTGTAATTTGCATTATTTATCCCATTTATATTACGTGCATTTAAATAGTTTCCATGTTTTATGCATTTGCAACGTATCGTGACTCTGCGTGTATTGTTACTGCAGATAGTCCACTGCGAAAAAAAGACAATGACGAAATAGCAATCATCCTTGAGAACGAAAGAACAATTAATCTCACGTTATAAGTAACCCAAAGACGTCGCGAAATGGAGGAGTATACGGCGGGGGTGAGGTGCAAACATTGCGGCACGCGAAGCGGAAGTAATATCTTTTTCATCGGAGACCTTCAACCGACCAATTAAACGGCAGGCCAAAAGTTTTGATTGACTCGAAACCTTTCCGATTCGGCCGGAATTCTTCGGAGATGGTAAGAAAACAATTATTACTCGCTATTACTGTACCCGTTTGCGTCACTGTATTCGTTCGCGTTATGATTAAAGTCTATGAGTGCCCTTTTCGCTAGCCGCTTGCCGACTAAGCAATCGAAAAATTTCGCAAACCTTATTTGTCGCACGATATCAAACAAAAGATTTTAATGTAATTCCCGCAAAGTTCATGTGCGGTGAAGTGCTTTTTAATTTGTAGGTCAAGTTGCACGAGGGTCGCGAAAGTCTAATTTGACATTAATAAACTCTTCTAAGCCTTATTTTAATTTCATGTCGCCTTTTTTAGGTGGATGTCACGATCAAGGGAAATCAGCTAGAGGGAAGCTTTGCCGCATAATACAATACAAATTAAATTATCTTTGACGATATTTTAACGAGAAAATTAAAAAATTGAAAATCGAAGCAAATATAAAAAGAAACTGTTTTCTTTCTTTGCGCGCTTTACGCGCAGGTGGAATATCATAAGCTTAAAAAATTGCGAATTTAAGCAATTCTTTTATTCCTCAGACTAAAGATGGAATGATGAAACTCTTGCATTTCAGTTCTTCATTACGTACTCGGAATATAAAGCATTTTCATGTCATTTTTTCATACTTTCCGACGTGAAGGAAAAGATGATGAAAGTACTCAAGAGAAAATCAGACTCTGCTTGGGTGTAGCAATTTTTGTTAACAACGTTATAAAGAAAAAAATATCTAAGATTTTATGTCATGTGAAATAGAAATTGCCACATGACAGAATTAAACTCTTTATATCTATTCAGAGATGAAGAAATCTTTCAGCTAGCGTTATGTCCTGCCATTATTGTGATAATCGAAGCAAAAAAGAAAACTGATGGCACAATGCGATATAATATTCATCGTCGACGAACAATACATTTCGCGATGGTAAGTATTGGACATTGCTAACAAACAGAAGAATCCGTGTGTGAGTTCTCTTTTCCATTTTGTAATTCACTTTGATCGCGACCTCGTAGAGTGCTGTCACCGCAGAGCGATACACATTTCAAACAGAATATCATTAACTTCAAAGACAGTAGCTATGCCTCAGAGACGACGCATTCGTTTGGCTTTTAGCGCACATAGTCGCGCAACGGGTATGACAATGCGCGCGATTCGATATCGACGTTGAAAGAGAATTCCGACGTCCGCCTTTCGTTGGCGGCGCGCTACGCGGACGAGTGATGAGATATGATGAAATTCTTACGCTGCTTCCTCGACGACCGTGGCCAGAAAGAATTCCGTGCTCTTGTCGTTGGAGATGACGACGACGGGATCGAGGGGTGTCTCGTCCTCGTCCTCATTGCTGCCGGAAGCGGTGTTTGTCGGTTCCTCGATTCCAGGAGCCACTAAGGCGGCCGCCCCCAACGCCGTTTCCGCAAACCTTGCCACAGAATACCCACTACGTGATCTTAGTCAAAAGCCTCTAGAAAAGCTTCTACACCTATCATGCACTTCCTTCTTTCCCGTCAGCTTCCAGCATTAACCCGCCGAGTAGCGTATCTACCATGCACAAAGCGACGTCACGCTCTTTAACAGCACCTGTAAGTTCCTGGATGACAGCGTAACGATTTTCCGACAGACTCTCGGATAATTTATGCTTTGCTTCGCGCTTGCTTCGCGCGAAAAAACGGCCGACTCGCAAAATTGCGAAAAACATTGCAATCTTGTTATTAATTTGGGGCATGTTGTATGTGTTACATACAAGATTTACGTAGGTTTACATGCAGATTTTAGAAAAAGTCATTTATATCCAAAACCCATCCGTATCGCGGTTATAAATAAATTCTTTGAAAAATTTCTAGATTTGCATAAATTTTATGAAATTGCACTTAATTGATAAATAAAAGAACTACATATATATACATGATTGGCGTACAATTGTATAGTAACGAGAAGGATTCATTATTTGCTTTACATATAATTTCAATTAAAATCAGAATTTTCCTCTATCTCAATTTACCAGCGAGCTGACGCAAGCACGGTTTCGATTTTATACGCGTCATCGCGCGGGAAGATTGTTAATTATGGTACAACGGGGTGGACCTAAATAAAAGCCCCATGTGTGCACACATAAAGATAGCACCGGGTTAAGATACGCGTGCCGCCGCAACAGGATTCGTGCATTAGATCGCCGGCGTAAATATCAAAATTTCGGTACTGTCTACCGAATTTCAGTCTACGCGATTAACAAAGTCGATAAATGGACAATGCGGCCGGCGCAAATGCATGTTGAGGATTAACCAGGATAGCAGATTATGCCGGATATATTGCACCCAGGAGAGATACCAAAACGCGCTACAAAATTACCAAATTACTGTAAATATCTAAGTTTAATTTATCAATAGCGACCGAACATCACGCCGTCGTGAATGCGATCACAGCCGGAATGAAACCTAAGAGGAATCATTAATTCGCTGAGACAGGTCATCAGCTTTATTAATTAAAAGCGAACGACTAAGCGGGACAACAACGGTGACGCTGTAAATATCACAATTAAAGCTGCGTGTTATGAACTGCACGCTACGATGTAAAATAATAATTAAATCAAATTTAGTTTCACCGACGTCATTTGTCTCGAATTGTACACGTCCAACTAATTAAACGTTCTATTTATCTCCACATTATTGACAGAACTATTATTCCGTAGGGGGCAAAAAAATCAATTAAATTATTACATTTAATCAACATTACCGAAACTAAATATATGCCCCTAATGTGAAATTAGATTTTTCATTTTCTATAGTGCAAGCATTATCGGTAAGTTGACTATTTTAAACTACGAGGCTGCACGAGAGTCGAAGCGACTTATTTGCGTTCGAAAATTTCGGTGGAATTTCGAAATTGTAGAAAGCTGAAAAGGGAGCTATAATCCTCGTTGTCGGCTGTCGCTATATCTAGCCGCATCATATATTCGTATTGAGACCAGCTCCTGGTCGTTATCGTGACCAGACACTCGATAGTGCCACGAAAATACGATTCGATCGGAAAAACTGCGTTGACTAACGATCGCATATTATTCGACGAGAATCATCGAATGCTACGGGCGAAATTTCCGATACCATTTGTGGTATCGTCGTTCAGCCAGTTTGACAACTTGAAGTTCCGAAATATTTTTGAGTGTGTTGAATTTTATGATTTTTCGGTCACCGAATGTACGCATTACCAGCGGGTGACAGCGTTTGACAATTGGCGGAAGATGACTTTGCCCTTTTTGCCCGATTCTTTTAATATTCTCGCGTATCGCGCACTTTTCTGTAATCGAGTTGTGTCGTTTTGAGTTTCGACGAGCAACGCAAACACCTCGACGCGAAGTACATGTGAATCGGAACGTCTGCTCTTAAAATATTTTATATAAATAGCATGTCCATATATTTGTATTGTATAAAAAAATTCTTTATTGGTTTCTCAAGTTTGATGGAATTTGCAAAGTTGATACAGAATCAAAATTTTATCTCGGATTCTGCATTGATCCAAGCAAACTCTTTCAACCCATTTCCATTTTATTTCGCCAACTTTGCTTTTCAAATACCTTTCCAAGTACGTGCTTTCTCTACGTTTAAGTGCTTAAATACTTAAAGATTTTCTGCACTATTCGATGGAAGGAAAGTAAACAAGAGTTTGTTGGAAAGTTTCGTTTACCTTCGCGGCACTCTCATCACGTGGACTCAACTACTTAACGAAGGATTTTCGTATTTTTCCAAAATCTTATTTGGCTAAAGATGTTAGATGTCTACGAATATACATATCTATCAAGTCCCACGGTTCTATATAACTGCTTGCATTAAGAATGTCGCTACTATTTTCGTTTACAGATTAAATCGTCTACTTTGACCGATCTATATGGTTGAATTGACCTTAATAAAACTTTTGCGTATAACTCTTCTACGCTCCCGATATCGAATATATTTATAATTAGGTCAAGAACTATAAAATTCAAAGTACAAATCAATATTGGTTGTTTGAAAAGTCAATAATTTTTATTCATTTACTCTTTTAAAATTGAATAATAATAATTCTTTATATTTTACGTATTAAACGTGGCATTTACAACAAAGAGAGACAACCGTAATATTTTGATTAATAAAGACGAATATTATAATTCTGACATTCAAATTCAATTTACTTCCTAATTCGGCTCATCTGAGCAGTCCTATGAATATACGTATTAATCAATTCTTTCAAAGCAAGCAAGTTTATATTTTTTTGTAAATTTCAAACATACATGAAGCATACCTCTCACGATATGTAATGTTCAACTCGCAAAAGCTTTGACGTCAATTGCATCGCGAAGCGTAAATGAATAACATGTAACAAGACGCGGCCGTACTTGGACAGCGGTGCGAGCCAAAAGAGCGACGATTAAGCCGCGTTGAAGTAGTTGGCTATTCAAGACGAGGCCGGCCTCGTCAGCACGGCGGAAATGAAAGCACGTGCGAGAGCGTGCGAGAAAAGCGAATTATCCAGGGATGCTCGGGACTTAACCCTCGGTCACACCATCTTTCAGCTCGCTCCAGCTGGCGCCAATCTCCGCGACAGATTGTCTCGTTGGAATGCAAGCCTTACGCGGTCGCGAAAATTGAAAAGAATTGTGGAGCACATCGGGCGCGCGACACGCTTCAAGTGGAAGCGGCTTGTTCTCGCGCTTAACACGACCGCGAGAAGGCCGGATAATGCCGCATAAGAAAATGCATGAATAAATTTACCCGCAAGCCGATTTCCAGCGGAACGAATCGCGGGCAACGCGAATCAATCCGTAGTTGTACCATGCTATGGTGGTATACAACAGAATAATATTACACGTTAATATATATATATATATATATATATAGGTATATATATATACAAAACCAAAAGAGGTAGCATATATTATACGTGAGGGGTTGCTCACGTTAAGATTGAAATGCCGAGATTCCATGATTTAACGGATTATTCTGAAAGTAATGTCTACTTGCGCGGTTACGTATTCAACAACCCGAGAAATAGTACCGAAGGACACGAAGCTAAAAATCCAATAATTTATAGACCTGGCTGGCCCGAGGGTCGAGAACGCAATGGTTCAAGGATGCACACGTACACGGTAGAACATGTGTACGTAAAAGGTTTAGAAATCGTACTTTACTGAATTTTTTACGGCATCGCTTGTGTCCTGAGATACGTTGGGCGAATAAAAATATATAAAGCGAATGCGGAATGTATGGGGAACAAGAATATTCCATTCGGCTTGGTTGGTTTATGCAAGATATTGATATGTTGAACTCGGTCAAATTTTAATAATAATATTAAACATATGTCCATGTTTTGCGAAAGAACACTTAACGATATAATTACGCCGAAAGCAGACATCGATACACGTATTTGCATGCGTTACGTACAAAGCAGTACTCGTATCTACAAAAGGTACAGCAAAATACGAATAAACACGAGTTTTCATATATCATATTTTGTACATTTAGAAGAGAGAAAAAGTTTTGTCGAAATACGTGACGTTAAGTCAACGAGATTTTTCGCTTGTGCTTCCAAACTTTTATTATCGCTGACAATTGGTTGTGTGTGACAAAGAGATAATTGCAAAATCGGATAAATTAATAAGGAAAACCTTCGGGAGCAAAATATTGCAGGTATCGATCGTACTTGCTGTAACTTTTATAGCATAAGAAAACCGATTACTAAATATGTGACGAGCAATCTATAACCAAGTACTCACCTGCGCGTGTGTGCGATGTTCTCGATGATGCTTCCCGGTTTTATATCGCCTAAATTCGGTTTTTTGCTAGCACGAGCCCTTCTCGCTCTATTTCGCAGAGCCTGAAACGACCAATTGAAACATTGTAATGCAAATCAATCGAGGAATTATAAACGCAAGACATAAATATATAATATGAATATTTACGTGAAATTCTTGCGGGTAACGCCTGAAATGTATTATCGAACGTTTCTACTCTGGAGTATGACAAAATTTATTTCGATAGTTTCACGAAGGAAAATCTGTGCGCCGATAAGCATTATAATATTTCGCTGCTGATTTAACTGCATCGAAAAGAATTCCGTTTCTCTTGCAAGTTTATGAAAGAGAGTATGTGTTTCCGATATTCACACATTCTTTATGATAACGCCATTGGAAAGTATATTTTCATGCTGTCATTTTTTATAAGAAAAATAGACTCTTTATAATATAATGATATACCCGGGAAATATTTACTTAGTATTTTGGAATATCAATGATAAAATTGTGAATAGATATGATGAATCACTTATGCCATTTAATAAGTAGTTTTATTAGACAGTTTGTACATTGTATGTATTTATACTTACGTTTATTCGCAATATTTCTGAAAAACATTTAGATAATAAAGATAGAATTTACATTATAAACTTGAATCTAGCTTGAATAAAATATAGCAAGCTCTTTTTACTAAAATTTTGCGTTCTTCGATGAATTATTACAGAATCCAATTTGTTAAATGTAAAGTTAAATTCAGAATATTTAATTTACGATTAACACTGATACCTTTAACGATGCATATCAGTTTTGTAAGGAGTGTGAGTTCCATGACATCACGGAGGAATATGACCCGGTAACGTTATATGGAAAACAAAAGGCTGTGTATCAATATTATCACGAAATTTCGCAGATATTATCCGCGTACAATTGCCACAAATATGAAATTAACAATTCAATCCAATCGAAATATCCTATACGCTACGCACGACGGAAATTGTCAGACTAGCCATATTTACGATCAACCACAATATAATCGCAATCACGGTACATTTGTCGTATCTGCGTCCGCAATTAATCCTATAAAATTGCAATAGTTTTATCAGCAATACATCGATTAGAATATACAACATCCGACTAATATCCAAATTGTGCAACTTACAATGAGGTCAGTTACAATTACCTTGCATCATTGATCTAAAAAAAAGGATTGTAATGTGTTTCTGCGGTATTTCATTTCAAAATTTCACGAATTCTTTATTCTCGATTATATTGTGGTCTTGCTTTCTGTAATACGAGGGTAGTCCCAGAAGTACCTGACCTGACGTACAGATAGCGGTTGTTGTTTAAAAAGACTATGGTAGAAAGTACCAACCTTATAAAGCTTAAGTTTGAAGTTTGATGACGCTACGTTGTTTAGTATTTGTTTGGCAGCCATCAATAGTGAACGCTCTCAGTGAATTTGTAAACATGGAAAAAATTGGTCATCGTTATGTGATACAATACTTTTATTTGAAAAGCCTCAGTCCAACCAATATCATAAGCGGATGCCATAAAGCGGAACTAGATTCTACTCTGGGGGAGTCTGCTCCTTTGTTTACAACAGTAAAATATTGGGTGGCAGAGTTTAAACGAGGCCGTATGAGCTGCCAAGACGAACATCGCAGTGGTCGACCAAATGAGGTGACCACGCCAGAAATGGTGAAGAAAATCCACAAAATGGTATTGGATGACCGTCGACTGAAAGTGCGCGAGTTAGCAGACATGGTAGGCATTTCAAAAAGTGCTGTACATCGCATATTGACTGAAAATTTGGACATGAGAAAGCTGTGCGCAAGATGGGTGCCGCGATTGGAACAAAAGCAGCGTCATGAGGATGTTTCAATCGATTATTTGGCGAAGTTTCGCAGCAATAAAGCCAGTTTTTGCGTCGATTCATAACCATGGATGAAACATGGGTCCATCACTTCACATCTGAGACGAAGGAACAGTCAAAACAATGGACCAAGGTAGCTTGATGGCTATTTTGAGGAGCTCGACGATTCCCACTATAAACAGGGTATCGAAGCTATTGAACATCGCTGGGAAAAGTGTATTGAGCTAAGAGGAAACTATGTAGAGAAATAAAGATATTTTTTCCCAAAGTTTTTGTGTTTTCTTTGTTATGTCAGGTACTTCTGGGACTACCCTCGTATATCTCTTATGTTCCTCCAATTTTTATACAACATTTTGTTTCTTTCCACAACTTCCCACTCCCAAAGAAAAAGTAACTTACAAAAATTGCACCGTCTGTAACGAAGACTAGAATTTATTCCAGCGGCATCGCGTCATACACGTGACAATTAAATTACGAAGACAGCAGAACTCGCTTTCACAAGGGTTGCCTTTCATGGCGCAGCCAATTTCACGATCAGTTCACGTTCCTGGATTAATCGCCGAGATGAAAGAGGCGCGAATAAATTTTTGCACTTTTGTAATCGAACAAGAGATAATTCCCTTTGCGTCTTGTCATCGTGCGTGTGCACGTTGATTCAACTACAGAGACAACTATCGATTCTCTTTTGGAGCAGAATCTTTTCAATGCATCGGAAAGCGATTTTTTTTTGTATAATACAAATGCCACGCGAGCGAAAGTTCAAAGCAAATATAATTAAAAAAATTTTATTTTACTTTTTATCAAAAAAGAATTCGATTCTCGGAATAGCAATATCCATCTATCTATCACAATTGCATTTAGGAATACGATTATCAAGTCGCGACTTTTTAAATGCTTTTTTAAAAACTCGTCAGTTTCGGAACTCGTATTAGCGGCAGAGTGCGGTGACGGTTTGTTTCATCTATAAATTCGTTTGACGCGCAATTTCGATTAACCGTATGATCCTATATTTTCCGCTAAACGGTCTGACCTATTAATATCAGCGTTTCTCAACCTCTCCGAGCGAGAGAATTTTTTTTCCTTCGTACACTATATTTCTCACGTGCGCATAAAAAGGTCGTGCAATCTTGTGATAAAAACTTGGATTTAAACAAAAAGATTAATTCCCACGGGTTTTATAGCGCGGAAGCCGAGGAACAAGTACCACGTACGATAACGTGTCGATCACGAAACGCCGATGCCGAGCTATTCCATATGAATGCACAATGCTGAGCGAGATCTCAGAGCAACGCGTCTTTCAACTCGCGTTTGTGAGAAACGCGGGAGAGCTCTAGGATCATACGGATGTCGATCGAATTCGGGCGCCAAGGATCTCTCTCGTTCCGCTGCCTCTTACCTTGAATATATTATAATAGAGGAATACCATGATGATGCAGGGTATGTAGAAGCTGGACAGGCTCGAGTAGATGATAAAATCCGTATTGTAGAACAGACATTGGTCCGGTATCCGGTCGGGGGTGTTATTCAAGCCTAGGACAATCGGGCTGCCGATCGCGGCCGATATCGCCCAGACCAACAGTATCGTCAGCCATACTCTTCTATTGTTCTTGTGCTTCGCGTACTTTATCGGCTGGGTCACCGCTATGTATCTGCAATTCAAATCCGTTTCGCGTGCGTTGCAACTTCCCGCGCACACGGCGGGCATTATATCGCCGTAAAAGCGTCCGCGACCAAATCTCCGCCGGCACTCTCGTCCCCGTGTATCTCGTGCGATTAGTAGCTGCATTTAGCATCGTCGGCATTCAGCCGATTATTATCTCGAAGGGTATCTCCTTCGGAGCGAATCTAGATCGCCGAGAGTAAATCTTAAGCGTGGTAGAATCTCTGGCCGAAACACTCTGAATCAATATCTGTAGATGACGAATGAATGTAATAGCACAACTTTCAACACGGGTCATTTTCAAGTACATTCTTTTAGTTTACTTTCCAGTTTGTGTAATTTACGATACATTATTTCTCTTCATCAGATTGATCTTTCGGAAATCAACTTTAAGATTAGAAAAAGAAGAAGAAGAAGAAGATGCAAACGCTAAACTATCCTTAAACGATTGCAGTCGTTCCCAAAGTTTGGAAGAGATCGCGCAAGACAACTTTAAAGTTGAAAGTTTCTTTGCTGAATTTCCTAAAATATTTTCAACCGGCTTGGCCGGTTCGTTCACGACAATCTCTCATTGCGCATGGGAGATTTTTCCAAGCGGAAAATTGCTTCAGCGTATGATTTGTCTATTTACCTACGTTGCATTTTACGTAACAACAATCGCCGTAGAATCGAATCAGAATTACAATGCACAATACTCGTCACTCGTCTCGTTGGCGAATCAATTTAGTAATCAGTCCCTTGGCAACCGTGTTGTTTGAAAAGAAAGGACATTGCGGTGTAAACGTTACAACTATCCTCATCCATAATTCAACGATACGAAATCACTCAAAAACGTTATTGAACGAATATCGTTCAGGCTGCAATCTATATGCACTTTTTTTCACGATCTCTCTTCAGCTGTGATCTTTTTATCTGCAAGGTACACGATTCTTCATTTACTTAAAAAACTATAGCGGCAAATTAGAGCGTTCCTCCTCACCCTCCCAACTCGCTCCGCCCTCTAACCGATATATATCCGATTCTCTTATCAGCGGACCGCATTCCAAGTACCGACATGGGCTTTTGCCCGTGTGCTATTCGAAGCACGTAAACCGGTAAAATCAGCCTATCCCACTTTTCCTGATTTTCAAACTTCCCCGATAATCATCGCGGCCCTTTCCCGACAAGAATGGCAGAAAGCCAAGCGCGCACATTCGGATTTCCAACTGCCGGAATTTAACGAAGAACGTGGAAAATCGCGCCGAAATTCGAATCGAGGCATAGTTTATTTACATAAAAAATTGAGCAAAATCCTGCCATTTCAGGAAACAGTACGCTGCATAATGTACTTTTATTTTCCACATGTTTTACATAGATATGTTTATTGTGTATAAAACAATATTTTTGAATATCGTCTGCGTGGTTTCATAATTAATGTGTCAAGAATGATTTCGACGAACTCTAAATTTGCCTTCGGCAAATTACACCTCGCAGGCGTAAAATATCAGATATTGGAAAGAAGAACATCGAGATATTCACTTAATAAAGTTCTGAGCAATATTTCGAGGTCGAACTTTTTGAAGCTTTTGCGAGCAAACGAGAAATGTTTACCTGTCTATGGAAATAGCCACGAGGTTGAATATGGAGCTGGTACTGCAAGTCACATCCATTGCGATGTAAAAGTCACAAACAAATCCAGGCAGACTCCAAGATCCGTTCACCTGCAGAAACACAAATGAAATGGAATTAATTTCGAAATGAAGACATCTCTTTCAATTATTACAGCCTTGTACTAATAAAGATCTGTATTCCTTCCGTTGCCTGCTAAATTTGTCTTTGTTCGGAACAAACCGTTGTATTATCGACGTGATCGTTGAAGCATTTTATTAAATAAAAGTAAGTAAATACAGGAAATATTATCATTTATCAAATAGATAAAGAGATATTTATTGATTCTCTCTGCGATACCATCGTATCTCTCATTACAAGTGTTATCATTTATTCAGCGTATATTTGTATTTTCTGTACACCGTAATCACATGATTCAAAATGACATTTAATAGAATTTTTAACGTCAAGACTCAATCATGAAATATATTAATTACCACTTTATCGCGATATACATTAAATGATGAGAAGAAAGTATATTGCGTTCGATGTCATTTAGCGATATTTGATAAATTGATAAATGTGTTTAACTTCAATTAACGTAGTAAATCTCTGTGAAACAATGTGCAACATTAATAACGAACTTAAAAGTAGGCAGCGGAACGTGTAAACCGCGACAGATCTCACCGCTTAATACCGGACGACTGCACACTTTCAAAGTCGGCGTCACTGCAGGAGCTTTCTAATACAGTGCCGATAATGCCTTGTACGGCCAATTCAGCGCATTCTCGCGTGCTTCTCAAAAGCGCTCGCGTCCAATACATCTTTCCTCGCATATATGGAAATAATCTCGATCGAAAATCGTGTGCGCGTCCGCGCGCGAGCGTGAAACGATCGCACGTTGCACGCGATTTCGCACATCGTCGGGCAAGCATTGTCCGCGATCGCCTGCGAAATCAAACGAGAATTAGCCGTAAATTTTCAAACGGACATCCCGATCGATGCCGATTATTTATTTCCGTTGTTTCCATCGCGCGTTTTACTCTCGAAATGCAACGAGACGAAAGGAAACGCGCACCCCGAGCGGTAAGATGCTCCGATATTTCTGCTCGGAGTTTTCTCAGGTTGCTTGTACACTTCCGACCGGCTATGCACACGGTAGCAAGAGCAAATCTACTTTCGAAGCGGCATAAGACGAGAGAGGTGAGATGCCTATTTGTGCGCCTGTACTCTTGTTGACGGATAAGCTACCAACGCGAAAGTAACCGATACATCGTCACTCTATTTTGCGCGATGGCTACATTTCCTTTTCCTGCAAAATAACTCGCGCGATTTTGCTCGCGGCAACTGGTTGCAAATTTCATTTTGCGTCCCGAACACTCGTATCGGTCTTGTCCATCTCTCTCTCTCTCTCTCTCTCTCTCTCTCTCTCCTCTCTCTCTCTCTCTCTCTCTCTCTCTCTCTCACTCTCTTTCTTTCTCTACGTGATTCTTTTTTTGACATCATTTCTTTGACAAGATCACCGCCGGGTTGCGTTGGGAATTCGTATAATCTACTCTCAGTCTTTCCCTCTCACACCCTCGCACGTACGAAAATCGACGAGTTCGTGGCAGAAGCACGTGCGTAGAAAATTATATCTCGACAGTCTTGACGCTTGCTTCGCGAGAAATCCGTCAAAAATTCATGTCTCTGACGTGATATGATCGTGCAGAGTTGTGTTCGTCTTTCCCGCGAGCAAAGTGTACTTAGCCTATTTAATATATATTTTTTACATATACTTTAATCACGCTTGTCTACATTATCAGCGTTACGTTTGTGAGGAAAAATATAGTTTCCCAAATGCAATCACGTCCAAAGAATTACCTTTGTGTGTAATGTACAATTACTTTGATCTCTCAAGTATTTTTAACGCGTCCGTAGAGACGAAACACGCGGGCGAAAGATCAAAATCCAAACTTCGAGCGGAGAACAGAGGAATTTAATTCGGAGAGTTTAAATATGTGCAATCTGTACACGCGATGTCGTCTCTTATATTTCCTCCCTCTCCTTCGCCGGAAAAAGTGGCGGAAAAGTGGTACGGCCACGTTATGCTGCCGCGGCGTACACGAAGCAGGAAATTTTCACTTCTGTAACTCTCGGTTATATATGCGGCGCACAGGCTGCACAACTCGCACACACACACACACGGTAAACACACACACGCGCATGTGAATACGAAATAATATTCGAAGTATACAGGGCGTTATACATTAGTACGAGGTCTAACATATATGTATTCTCCCACATGCCATAATACACGCATGAATCGCAGCTATTGCATGGTCTAAGCTGAGCGCAGCTCATTAGCTTCGTTTTCATCGGTTTCCCGATAAATTTGAATAATCTACTTGCGCGTGTATATTTTATGACATTGCTAACTTCGTTATCTCAGCATCGCACGTCCGCACCCTTTATTAGATCTCGCGTCAAATAAATAAATATTGATAGTAAGTCGTAATAACATGTTGTGCAGCTTGACATACTCGACGCTTCCGTCTTTCATCCCGTTAATTCCTTGATCCTGTGTGTCACAAAGTATCCATAATGAATAAAGAGAGTGTACGTGTTCTTTGTATACACATACAAAGCATGCGTGCACAAAGCGTGTAAAATTATTTGTAAACTAAAAATTATGTACACAAAATATCAATGTTCATTTATCGATGCTTGTTAATGCCAGCCATGGTGCTTGTATCACTTTTAAACACCATCCAATACATTACGGCAATTTGAATTAATTGAAATAATAATTTCATCATTTATTTCATGGCAAGGTTTCATGGCGATAACGTTTTCCATTATATCATTATCGGTAATGTTTAGATAATTAGTAACTGACCATTTGCTACAAACTTACTCTTTCACTTCACTGTTTCTGCTACATTTAAATTATTACGTCCGCGATCAGTTATTGGTCACTGTTCCGCTCGATATACTTGTACGTTTAGAAGATCGAAAATAACAAAAATCGATTATTTAACGGGTCAGTGTGTATGTCGTGACGAAAATGTGTGACGATTCAATATATCCGACGTGCGTAATTCATCTCGAAAGCGTGTCACAAATTATCGGCAATCTGTGCCGCGCTACTTTGCGTTTAAAACTAGCGCGAACTGAATTTCCAATAACGTTCGTGGCGGCGTACAACGAAGTAATTATTATCGTCCTTCGCCGTAACTTCACTTGTTACACGCCCTATCGGAGCGTTACACCAGTTTACAGTGGCTTTCACGATAAAAGCGTATGCGCGCACGCGCGAGCGCGCATTTCCATCTAAGATCGACGGAATTCCTGCGTGTTTTTAAGCGAGCGTGGCTTTGCATTCCATTGCAATCGTGTCCAGAATTGGCTCCCGACGGATCTACGCGATAAGCGAATGGCGTTTATGAATGAATAAGACTTGTGTTTATCAGCGTGTTAGAGTTTCAATGACGAAAGGGTCAGCCGCATACGATGCCGTGTCGCGAATTACGAGCGAGCTCAGCTAAATTTATTCGTCGATACATTTCTCGTCACCTTACGCTATTTACTATGAATTACTTACTATTTACTATGAATTATATTTAATTATGCGAATAATTGCAAATCTTCGGGCTAGCCGCTTTTGACTTTATATTAACAAAATCCTGTCCTCTCATCTCTAGCGTGCATTTTCATAAAGCATGGGTCTATAATTAAATTTATAGGATAAAACATTAGAAGAAAAGAGAGGAATTCAATTGCCTCAAGCATCGTAAATTATTATTTGAGGGTATATAAGCTTCATTATAGGTTAATGAATATAAAAGGCACAGTCCTTTTCCTGCTGAAAATTATATTCTCGAGAAAGATAAGAAAGATGTGTTTTTTATCGGGAAGCTCTCTTCCCGCGTAAAACAACGTGTCGAGGTACGTTTCCTATAGAATGCAGCTATGTATGCAAGACGACGATAATGGTGTCTCGGGGGACGTTTCACATTTCTCATTACCGCATTAGATCGAAACAAGCTTTACTCGGCTCTATTGTATGCGTAGAAAATGTCACCCTGCATCCCTAGTGGTATCATTAACTTTTACAAATTCCGACCGGATCCCCGAGGTATAGTTAAAAAGAACTCAAATAGATGTAGAAGCTAAAAATTCAGCTGGGATATTGCAGCGCGCGATGTCAAGATTGTATCTATTTAGAACGTGCAATTTTCTTCTTAATGTATATTAGTAATAATAGCGGACCACACAGAGCGGCAGGATTATCAGTTGAGAGGTAGTACACTTACGTCCTGATTTTCCAGGAAGATCAGATCCACGTGTCTTTCGTATTTTGTGGATAAGTCCAGTAAAATTAAAGTCAGTTGCAAGTAAGAGCAAAAATGTGGCTGCCGAGTGAATATACGACGTCGGACACACACATGTGAAATGCAGATTCGCAAAAGAGACAGAAAGACTCCTTCAGGAAACTTAGGAAATTTCGTCACACCCACGATGTGTGTCAGTTTTTGCGCAGGTGGCGATAAAAAAGATACGGCGAATCTAACGGGGTTCCTTCTCGCACCAGCAAGAACTTCTCAGCAGCCTCGAATTTTACTTCAGCGAGTTCGCGAAGTTGAAGCCCGCCTCTCCGTCCTCCCGGTTTTTTTTTCATTACACATTTACGAAAGTATTTGCGGCTTCGTCAGCGCGAAGTTTTACCAGTTTGCAACTTTGTCCGCCGTCGACGCCACATCCACTTGAGCATTTGAAATGCGAGAGTCTCCGTATACAGTTGCTTTTGTGTCGACGGCGATCGGTTGAACTTATCAGCAACGCGACGACCATTTCGAGGGAGCGTGTTTCTTTGAAACGCGTAGCCGGTTGACATAATAAATTTCCGATGGCACGCTATCAATTAGGCCCGCCGGCATTTAAATCCCAAGCATGGCCAGACCGCCGGATGTCGCAGTGTGTCCTCGTCCGAAGTTGAACCGCGGCCAAGATGTCAATGGAGCATCTAGGCCAAAGTAATTTAAGTGCATTTTGTCCGTTCGGTATGTCAAAATCGCTCGTCCACGCTGCCGCCACAGAGTTTACGCGAGATTCATCGCTTTTAAGTTCGTAC